GGGGGGGGGGGGAAAGCTGTATTTCAAAACGAATTCCACGTTTTCCTTTAAAAACAGAGTTCATGGACCAAGACCGACTTCAGATGTTCTCTCTAATACCCCGCTATGAAGCGTCAGTTGTTTTTCAGGAAATAACAGGGTCACACAACCAGCCGAGGCCGGTTTCCAGGTTCCCCAAAGCCTTGAAAGCTCCCGGGAGGCTAATCGCTGTTTACTGCGAAGCTTCCTCCTCTTTTGTAACATTTTCCGTCCTGAGAAGGGGCGGCCGTGCCGTGAGCGAGGAGCCGGGCAGCGCCTGAGCTGAATGGAATTACTGCCAGTGGAAACTATGCTGCAAGAGCGGGCGGCCCGGCAGCTGTGCGCAAACCTCGCAGATTTTCCGTCCTGGGAGCGGAGCTTGTTAGCGTCGGGAAGACTGAGGCGCTGACGTCACCTCTTTCCAGCCCAGCGTCCCTGCGCCTGCAGGCATGCGGGACTTGACTCAGGAATCTGCTGTCCAAACAGGACGCGCCGGGGGCTGTGCTTCCCTCCTGGGGGCTGGGCCTCCCTCCCGCTTTATAAGCGCAGGCTCCGCGCAGAACCCCAGCTCCGCGAAGGCGCCTCTCTCGGGCCGACTGCGCGCATCCCTGGCGCTCTCCCCGGGAGGAAGCAAGATGCATTTCAGAAACTTTAACTACAGCTTTAGCTCCTTGATTGCCTGTGTGGCAAACGGTGACATCTTCAGTGAAAGTGACACCAGGGTAAGGCTTCTAATCCAATGCGATTTCTGAGAGTTTTCAAAGCATTACGTTAACTGGGACTATTAACTGAAATAGTTGGGGGGGGGGGTATGCGGCTCTCTTGTGGGTTTGGGGGTTTTGAATTAAATCAAGAATACGATGAGCCTTAAAAATCAAAAGCCGTCTCCTGAGGGACTGACTCGAGGGATTTTTAAAGCTCAGTGTCTGAAACCGTCCAGATCCCCGAACAGCCAGTGAGGCAACTTTGGGCATCATGGGTTTTTCATTATGAATGAACTTTTCAGAAGGTCTCTTAGTGGATAGAAGGTTTCACTTTGGCATCTAGAGCTCAGCATAATTTGACTCGATCTTAGGAAATAAATGCTGTGAAGGCATTCGTATGTTTGCAGTCATTCGGGTTTCTCTAGCTAGAGCGAGCGCAGCCTTGGTGAACAGTAACGGAAGCCTGGGTGGGGTGAGTGCCCTCCTGGGAAGCAGCTCTCGAGGTTGGTAATTAATTGGTAATTAATGCATTTAGTCGTTTCCATTCCTATGAGTTTCTCCTTCATTGGCCTGAGGTGTGAGATTTGCATGAGTACCTGTCCGGCTACGTCATCGATTACCCATATTGTACA